AAACTCTTTTCAATCCTAACTGACTTAACAGAATTAGCAAAACTTACATTCCAATAGTTAGACAGGTGAGACATGTATATGTAGAAGTAATATATGATTATTCAAAGAATCAAATGCAAATATTCTTTCTCACTTGTCCAATCTTCAGTGTTAGAAACGCAATCATGCCTTTCGGAAACACCCACAACAACTTCAAGCTGAACTACAAAACTGATGAGGAGTATCCAGACCTTACCAAGCACAACAACCACATGGCCAAGGTGCTGAGTAAGGAAATGTATGGCAAGCTTAGGGAGAAGCAGACCCCCACTGGATTCACCCTGGACGATGTCATCCAGACCGGTGTTGACAACCCAGGTGAGTAAAGACATCAGTGTCACATCCTTACCAAATATTTCAAACCTGGATCACTTCAGAGAGCACAACATGTTTCCTTCCTTCATATACTGACGAGACGACATCTTTCTCCAGGTCACCCCTTCATCATGACCGTCGGCTGTGTTGCTGGTGATGAGGAGTCCTATGAAGTGTTCAAGGATCTCTTTGACCCTATCATTTCTGACCGCCACAATGGATACAAGGCAACTGACAAGCACAAGACTGACCTCAACTTTGAGAACCTGAAGGTACAAAATAGAAATAACAAATAGTTTATGAAATGTTAGAAATCAATGGACATAGGCAATAGATGGAACAATAAACTGTCTCCTTGAATTCAATTATTTATTTACTTGAATATTGTGAAATGTGAGTTAGTAAATAAATATGAAAAACAATCCATATGATATGGGTATGCTTTATATCCAGAATCTACTGTTTAACAATATTTGGGAATGTTCTGAAATGAATTAAATCTCTACTTGTAGGGTGGAGATGACCTGGACCCCAACTATGTTCTCAGTAGCCGTGTGCGTACCGGCCGCAGCATTAAGGGATATGCCCTGCCCCCCCACAACAGCCGTGGAGAGCGCAGAGCTGTGGAGATGCTGTCTGTTGAAGGTATGCTGTCATCAGGGATTAAAGCAAAAAAAAATATTTTGACTGAAAATTTTTCCTCAGCCAAACCCAATTCCACAGCCATACCTGTCACACACCCAGTTTAAGAGCAGTTTTTTCTTCTTGTAATTAGGAGCGCTTGTCCTCCTAATTAAAAAAATTTAGGAGCACCTTGTAATCAATAATAGAAAATTCTGATCAAGAATTAGCCTTCCTAATACGAGCTGACATTTGACTCAAAGTGATTTCAGGGGCATTTTCTTTTTACCTTTGTAAATGCATTTAATTAATTTTATTAAATGTATGCAGTGTTTCCTAGGATTTTTTCCAGCTGGGATGGCAGGACTTTTTGCTCATGGACCACGCCCCCTCCCCTCCCCACCCAAGAATCATGTGCACTCAGAATTGAATTTATTTTAACTAAAAAAAAACAAGTAAATAGTAAATAATAAAATAAGAATAAATAAATTAACGACAATCAGTAGCACAAACAAAAACAATAACAAGAATGGTAGGTACATTTTCAGACGTTTAATGAGGCTCAGAGGTGGCAGGAGTGCATTTAAATTAATAAATTAATGTGGAGATTAATGTTTTAAATATAAAATTTTGAATACAGAAATATTAAATGATTTAAATAACTGAAATTATACCTAAAAATGAAACTGAAACCGCCAGCAGGTAGCGGCAAGTCACTAATTTTATGACTGAATCATTCATTCAATTGATTCGATTGAACGCACTTTCATTCATGAATGAAACACCACTGTGTTTGCTTTTAGAGGTGAGCAGCGGCTGAGCGGTTAAAAGAGCAACATCAGGCAGTACTTGTTTATTGAACTGTTGTATTAAATCAGTATCACATTTGCAAACT